ATAGCTCCAAATATCCAAAATTATAAAAGTAATACAGCTGAATGGTAGAGAGCACTTGTTTATCATGCACAAGGACCAGAGTTTAATCCCTACACTGCAAAAAATAAATAAATGAATAAATAGTAAATAAAAGGTAAACGTGGCTAATAAAAATGTTCTCACAGTATGTTCAAGTCTATTTTTATATGCTTTAAACAGATTTTAAATTCAGTACACACATAAAATAATTTGAGTTCTGGCAAGTATTTAAATGAGAATGAAAAAAAAAAAAAGAAGACTACTTACTAAAGGATATGAGTTTAGAAATTGGGCCTGATTTGTATTTTCACAAGGACTCTAAGAAAAGTAAGGCAAAAGGAATGTTAACTAAAAATGATTACAATCAATTTTTACATAATGAAAATACTTTAAAGTTCTACTTAAGGATCCACTTACAAATAAAATTCCTATTAGCAAATAGATATGTTATTCCACGGGCACTATCACCTTGTTAGTTTTCAACTATATTTTTACTAAACATTTAGTTTTTTGTTACTTTATGTGCATGAATGCTTGCCTGCATGTCTGTACACCACCTGTGTATCTGGTGCATATGAGGGTCAGAAGGCAATGGATCCCCTGGAGCTGAAGTTACAGCTGGCTGTGAGTTCCATGTGGGTGCTGGGGACCAAACCAGCATCCTCTGCAGCACCAGTGGCAAGTACTCCCAGCCACTGAGCCATCTCCCAGCCACTGAGCCATATTTTTAAATGAAAGCAAGAGAGATTTCACAGTATGGTACTGTACATCTGAAAATTACAGAGCATTCAAATGCCTCTAGTATAAAGTCCACATGTAATCATAGACTGATTTGAAGGCTAGACCCTTAATGACCATAACTAACCGTAATCAAGCTATCTACTCAACTAATATAGCCGGATTTTCACTAGGGCATTTGCCTTAAGATGTGTTAACAATGGCTTAAATGCTGCCCAAGCTTAGAACATAAAGGATGCTACTACAGATTATGAGGAAGAAACTGATTTCTTTTTCTTTTTCAGTAGAGGTTAATATTTAAAGAAAGGTTCTCACTCCTCTAGAACAAGATGGCCTTAACTTCAGGGTGACCTTCCTGTTGCAGCTTCCCTGGTGACCAGATTACAGGTGCAAGCCACCATGACCCACAAGAAATGATTTTGTTTGTTTGTTTGTTTTTTGTTTGTTTGTTTGTTTGAAACAGGGTGTCATGTAAGCCCCATACTGACCTCCAGTTGGCTCTGTAATAGAGGCTGCCCTGAACTCATCTTCCTGCCTCAACCTTTCAAGTCCTAAGACTCTAGGTGTGTACCACCGAAACCAGCAAGAAACTCATTTTCTTTTAACTGAAAAAGAACATGAATATTCCATGCAGTTAAGAGATGAGATTCATGGGAACCCCAAACTCTCCACTGACGGAAGGCAAGGCCCTACTGATGAAAACAACATCTACACAACTCACTGAACAGAGAAGTGGAGCTGGACCTAGAGTCTTCACCCCTAACAGCTAGAATTCTTGGTATCAGAAGGTATTTTGCACACTAACACAAGAGTAACTTAAACACCAACCCAGCTACAAGCCCTTGATCTACAATCGTGTCCTCTAGTGCAATGGTGGCACAAAGCTTGTTGGAGTAACCAACCAATATCTGATTTAAGGCCCACTCCAGGAGATGGAACCCGTACTCAACACTGCTTGGGTACCAAGAACCTGAGACTAAATGGCCAGGGACCTAAGGGACAGCCAAACACTACCAGTCTCCTAAAGCAGAGTAGCAATAAAATGACTTCTAACAACATTCTGCTGTACTCATAGACCAGTGCCTTGCTCAGCCATCCTCAGAAAAGCTTCCTCCTGTAGCAGTCAGGAACAAATATAGAGACCTCAACAAGACAATATGAGAGACCTATGGAATACTCAACCGTAGTAAAGAAGATGTCTCCATCAAATTCCTCCCCTCAGGGCTCAGGGAACCCAGCTGAAGAGGAAGCAGAGTGCAAAAGCCAGGGGGAGGAAAACAAGGAAATAAGGCCTGTGAAACACAGCAGGACTAAGTTCAGTTAAACTTAAGGCAGGACGCACAGGGCCTGCAGAGGTCTGCACCACAGATGGTCCTAGAGCTGAGAGGATAAATGTGCAAATGCCCCCATCCCTAACCCAGAAGATGTCTCCAGTAGACAACCACTTGCAAATGGAAAACTTCCTCTCCAAAGGAGTCTCACTGGGGAAACAGACTACTCCGAAGGGGCTGTAAGCTCAACGGTAGATGGGCAACAGAAAACAACAGCATCTTTGGAGGTTCCTGTCTCATGTCATATCAGGGCTTTTTTTTTTCTTTAGTTGTCATTTTGACTTTCATTTTATTTATTTTTATCAATTTTTTTGTTTTTTTTACTCTTCAGGTTTTGCGTATATATTATGGCTTCCGACTTTGTATTTTTATGGGAATCCTGAATGTTCGAACGAGTGTGTGTCTGCGTGTTTCTGCCTCTCTGTTTCCTGTGCCTTTTCTCGGGCTCTCTTCCTTCCGTTTGTTTGTACTGTTTTATCTCATCAGCTGGTTTTCTAAGGAGAGCTAGAAAGGGTGTGAATCCAGACAGGAGGAACTGGAAGGAGTAGAGGGAGGGGAAACCATGAACAGAACATAGAGTATGGGGGAAAGCTACTTACAATAAAGAAAACAACAAAAAGAAATGAGATTCAAGTCAAGTATGGGGGCTCACACCTATAATCCTAGAACTAGCGGGCAGAGGCTGAGGAATCTCTGTGAGTTTGAAGCCAGCCTGGTCTGACAGTGATTCAAATTAGATTCACGGTAGCTGTTCCCAGGATACTACCAAGTTAAGAATCGGATGCATCAGGACCACCCTCCTTGTTAGTAGAGACCCAGCCTTTACGGGCAGAAGCCTGGTGCCAATCTAACCCTTTCACCACTCTTCCCTGTTCCTCAACTGAAATGGCCATCAAGTCCCATCGATTCTCTCCACGCCCTCTGCACTGGCGAGTCCTCCTCACTCCTTTTCCACCTCACCTGCTCAACAGCTACCCCGACATCACTGCCTCCGTCACCCACCCTCTCATCTAGGATCCGTATTCCACACCACAGTCCTGGTAATTTCCTAATTACAAACCAAAACGTTTCTCCATCTCAAAACTTCCAGTGACCCCGTCACTGACGCTCTAAGACCCAAGCTATTTATACGAACGTATGACTGTCTATGATTTGAGTCTTTCCAGGCTTTCAAATGCCCTATCACACTATAATCCCCTCAGGGTTGGAATTTATATCCCAAACTGGCCTCAAACTCGATATCCTCCTGCCTCAGCCTAAGCTATAATTACAGGTAGGTGTGTACCAGTCCACCCGGGCCTCATGCTACACTTAAAGCCTCATGATATCAAACCTTACTACTTGAATTCCCAGCATGCATCCGGCTATAGGTTGTCTAAACACAGAGAATTTCTAATGTTCTTCGCTCCTTCCTCTCTGCTGGCTGAACAGTTACTATGCTTCTCTGAGATTCAGCCTGCAGCTGGAGAGATGGCGCAAGCGTGAGAACCTGAACTCACTCCCCAGCACAAAAGCAGCCGCAGTGGCATACTGTCTGTGAGTCTATTACTGGGGAGGTTGAGAGAGACGATCCCTAAGGCGTACTGGCTGGCCAGACTACCCTAATAAAAAAAAAATGCAAAAAAAAAAAAAAATTAACTGAAAAATAATAAAACTCAGCTTGGATCCCAGGAAAGCAACTGAAGACACCACCCCTTACCCTTACTAGTATTATTCTTGTTTCCTACTCTGTGAACTCTATAGATAACACTGATATTTAATGGGCACTTACTATGTCCCTGCTACTGTTCTAATCATGTTACAGAATTAAGTGATTTAATCTTTGGGAACTGAATTACAGAGAAGTAACATCCTTAGTTTGGCCAACTGGGTGGAAACCCTAAAACATATATATTTGCATTCCTGTATCTATCACATCGAGTTTACTTATATCAATGTCTTACTCTGCCCTGTACGCTCCTTGAGGGCAGGGAGGATGCCATCTGTCTCTAAATATATGCTAGACATTGCATATATTTCTTGAACTGATTTTAAAATGATGTCCTAACGAACTCAAGATAAAACTAAGAAGGCAAGGATGAAGCAAGCTATTTTCTTTAGCAAAGAAAAGGGTGTTAGAAAGAGAGCTTATTACCAACATGAGATTACAGTCCTTGATGAAATGGACTTATTTTGTGGTAATAGTGCTTAATAGCTATAATAAATCAAAACTCAAAGGACCATTTGCTTAAGATTAACTTTTTTCCCCTCACTAAGTAAGAATTCTTGTTTCTTATCATTCACAGCAGTAAAAGAAAGCACTAAATTTACTTTGCTCAAATGGAAAAAGGCAAATCATAGACCACTGCTACTAATTGCTTCCTTAAATCCTGCCAAGAAATGTATCCCATTAGGCAATTAGAAAGAAAATACAGTTGCCTGACTAAGCATTTCACAAAAGAATTTCTAAGGTTGTGTAGACTGGCATTCCATTATTCAAATACTGAAAAAAAATCCTCTAAATATAAACGAAAAATAAGAACAAAATAAAACCACCAGCCTATACAATATAAACTTCTATATTAAGATACATATGTTAGATTAAAGCATGCGCATAACCATCTTCATTTAAAGTTATAAGACTAAAGCTATTCTTACACTGAAGATAAACGACCCTAGGACTCAAACTTCGGTCCTCAGGTGTGTTCTCAGCTGTAGTCCTCTGAGATACTCTGAAATAGAGTAACTAAAATCCACAGGGACAGCACCAGCAGCAACAGCACGCACACAGTACTTGTTAGAGTCATCTGCTCCCTGCCTAGCTTCTAAATATTTGTGTATCACTGAAAGGTAAATCTGCTACCAAGAGACCCAACGTTCAAGCAACAGCGTGTTTTGGCACAAGTCATCAACCTCTACCCCACCCCATCTTACCATTTCTTTGTACATTCAACCATCAGCTCCTGGTAGGAGGCCACAAACTGGAACTTGGACGCATGTTTTCCCACTCGCTGCAGTCTCTTCCAAACTGAAGCCATGGTGATGGGCCAGGAGACTGGAACCGTTCTGGATTAGCAACACAGCAGCCTTAATAAAGCAGAGGGTCCGAAGCACAAGAGCTTTGCATATATGTCTGTACTTTCAAAACAGAAAAAAGCTAGGACTTGAAACGATGCTTGGAGTCCATAAGTCTTCTCCCTGTTTCACAGGGTAAATCCTATCTTAGATGAGTGGTCCAGTCGGGAACCGTTGATAGACATGACACGGTGAGTGAGAGGAGCTTCCCTCATGGAGACATCACCACTCCACCTCTATGACGTGTGTGCTGGAGAACTGAAAAGCAAAACACAGACAAAAAGAGAGAGCATGAGGACAGAAGCCTAAGAAGTGTTAGATAAGACTGCAACAGCCTCTGCTATCTGTATGTGTCTCAAACAATGAAACAAAACACCGGCCTCCAAAGCCAGTAACATCAAGGATGCAAGATACCGAGGAAGAAATGACAAATCCCACCGAAGACAGGCAGATACACCAGGCTGTCAGCACCAACAATCGGGAGCTGCCAGCCCAGCCGGGCCCTGCCTTCCCTGCCTAGCATCACGGAAGGGAGAACAGGGCGGGAAAGTCGGGGATGCTGATTAATGTCCACCACCAGTCAGAGGGAGGAGTGGAGTATTTTTAAATAAACTTTATTTCTCAGCCGACAATTAACAGCCTCGAGTCTCAGAATATGTGCTTAGAACAAACTGGGGTGCAGGGAGAAACGCTGGCTCAGTAGGAGAGGGAAATGGATGGAGAACTAGAGTGGAGGGAAACCTCGCGGCAGAGGGAGGGCAAGGTCCCAGCTCCCGGCCACTCTGCTTCCCCTTCACCTTGGCTGCCAGGAGGAGGGGAATGGAAACTCGTGCCTGGGCTTGAAGCAATGGCCAGCCGGGCCAGCGGGCAGTGCGGGGTGCGGTGCCTCCCTCCCCCATCAGGAGCAGCCGGCCCAAGCCTCGTCTCCTCACGCACCGAGTGCAGACCCCTGCCTCTCTCCGCAGAGACAGGCGTTGCCAGCCGCCGTCCCTGTCACCCAGACGCTGCCGGTGGACCCCCAGCCCGGTCCCCGAGCCCCGGCCCCTCCGCTCGCCCACTCTAAGCCCTCCTCACACCTCTAATCCCGCTGTCCCCTCCTCAGAGCCGCTCCTCCGTCGCCGCCGCAGCAGCCGCTGCCACCGAGTCCTCCATCCCCGCTGGAGCCGCGTGGAACAGCGAAGCCCGGCGCGGCGCTCGCGGGAGCCGGGGTCTGCAGCCTCCCGGGTGGACGACGCCCGCCCCCTCCCGGCGCAGCGCCCTGCGACCGTCCCCCGTCCCCCGCCCCCCGAGCCAGCCCTGCCTCAGCCGCGGCTCAGCGCCCAGAGCCCCCTCCCCCGCCTTCCTCGGCCGCCACCACCATCATTACCTCCCCCGCCGCACCTCTCACACTAACCCTACCCACAGCGGCTCAACCTCTGTCCGCGCCGCCGCCATTGGCTGAAGCTGAGCGGGCCCCGCCTCCCTGGAGGGCGGGCCTTAGGGCTGGAGGGGCTCTTCATTGGCAGATCCTCGTGCCCGTCACCCGGGCTCCACCCCTAGCCCGCGGGGTGTTTTTTCTTGAGGTGGAACCCGCCGGGTCTACCCTCCTTTTCTTAAAAAAAATAAATAAATAAAATGGAAATCACGAAGGACGATCCCGCCCATTCCCTTGAATGGTTGAGAGAGGGCAGCAGGAGGAGTAAGGAGTGTTTATAGTGAACTGGAGAGCGATAGAGGAAGGTGGCTGTCCGTCAAAGGCGCCGTGGCTGCCGGGCGGGGTTTCTGGCTCCAGCTGTAGGAACGGAGCTTGGTCTGGTTCTAGCGGCGGCCAGGGACCCCGAGGTGCTGTGTTTTTTCTCCTCTTCTCTCCCATCCCCACCCAGGACCTGGGCGCTCCTCTCCTGTGTCTCTAGCAGCCAGCGATTTTGCACACACAGCCCTTATTTCACTCTATTCTTTCCCAGTTTTTCCTTGACCTTGCAGGCCCCCGCCCCGGGTTCAAGGCCGTCCACAGTAAGATTCATTAAGCTGAGCTGGACATAAAATGTTTACAGTACAGTTTCTTCTTGTTCTCATTCTCAGCATTTCTTTGAATCTTGCATTCCCGTGTTCGTTTGCGGTCTCATTATCCCTCCGGTATGAGCTGTGGGTGGATTTGGGAGTGGTTGACTATGTTAAAAGGGTGGTTAAAGGCAAGGGAGAGGAGTGGTGTTTAGTCCTATTGAGTAAAGTCTCTGGCAGCTCAGGATGGCCTGGAACTCTGTTGTAGCCCAGGGCTGGCCTTGAACTATGACCCTTCTGCCTCTGCTGTGCCTCCTGAGTGCTGGGATTATAGGAGTGCGCCAGCCCAAACGGATTTTTGTTTGTTTTGTTTAGATAGTGTCTGGCTATACATCCAGAGGTTAGCCCCGAACTCATGATCTTCCTGCTTCAACCTTCAGGGTGCTGAGACTTCTGGGATCTCAGGTGTGCATCCCTGTGATCGCAGGTGTGAAGCACTGCCTAGCTCTAAGATCCCTTTTGAGGATGTGAAAGTTATAGACACTTTCTCAAGGGGCAGAAAATACCCTATCCCAAAACACAAAGATTTACTTTCAGTCTTAGATGTTTCACAGACCTCTGATATAAAGAACTAAGAATAAAATTATAGCTTTGGGTGATAAACAGTAATGTAAGATTAAGAAACTGAGAAGGAGGCTAGGAATGTGGCTCCGTGGGAGAAGGAGAGACGGGACACAGGAGAGGGCAGGTAGAGAAAAACAGAAAGGAGAGAGCGAGGAAGGGATGGGGGAGAGGACTGAGAAGGAAGAAGGAACGGTCAAAAAAGCAAAACGCTCAGCAAAGGATGAGCAAATTGGAGATGAGAGCACGAGAACGGGCAAGTGTTTCCAGGCTCGTTCCTAATCTTATTAAAGTGGGAGGCAGATTTTAAAAGTGACTCGGACGTTATTGGGGTCCTGGGAAGGATTTGACGGAGGGGAAAGTAGGCTGATGTGAGATCATCTGTATAGAATGGGGATCAAGAGAAAAGTTAGGAAGTGTACATTCAGGAGAGATGGGAAGACAGGAGCCTTGAACCCACTACCGACTTCTGCTTTCACTTTCAGGAAAAGAAAGCGATCTAATAATATCCAAAAAAAAAAAAAAAATGTGTGCTTTATAAGAAGTGGTATAGTTATCACTTGTTATGTCTTAATTCTAGAATGTAAAATAACCAAAATGATGTGTTCTTATTGTATATGCACTTCCAGGTTCTCAGCTGTTGCTTCTAAGTTGCTTCCTACAGTCAGTAGGATCTCAGATACTAATATATTCTGCTTCACTAATAGATATTATGTGTATAGACCTTTTTAATGGATAGTTTTAGAAATGGTTAAACTATGTTCATCTAAACTATCCTTCAAGAACTCACTTGATAATCAGATTTTTGTACTTTATTTACTACTCTATCATAGATTCTCAAATATTCTAATGTAGTCACTCTGGGTTCTTTTAATATTCTTTCCCTTCCTCAAAGGGGGCACTTTATTGTAAAGAAATTATCTAAAGAGCAATGGGAAAGGGAGGGAAAAGGAAGGAAGGAAGGATAGGTAGATCTATAAGGATCTTCCTCAAGTTGTAGAAAGATTCAAGAGACCAGTAGTGTTTTGTTTTGTTGTTGTTGTTGTTAATTTTGAGACAGGGTCTTTCTATGTAGCCCAACTGACCTGGAACTCTTTATGTAGACTAGGGTGGCCTCCAACTCACAGAGATCTGGCTGTCTCTGTTTCCCAAGTGCTAGGATTAAAGGTGTGTGCCACTATACCCCGCCGAGTATTTTTCTTGAATGTAAACTTACGTTTCTTTCTAGCCACCAAGGTAGCTATGGAAAGAGTTAAAATGTCTGCAGACCAAGGGAAGAAGTTAAGAGTGATCCCTGATGTTCTGCCGGAGAGCTCAAGTGCGCGGGGCTGTCTGCTGACAACTGCTAGGAGCAGCAACTTTGCCCCACAATACTTTTAAAAATCACCTGTCTAGCGACTAAATTGATTGGGGAACTTTAAATGCAGACTATTCTAAGGTTTGGTCTGCTTAGCCTATAATTAAGTACCAACTAAATATCGATCACATTAAATACTATTAATAGTACATCAAAGTTACAGTTTCTATTCTCAAAGAATTTTCAGAGAGAGAGATCTTCAGTGTGCATGCAAGAAAAATTTCCTAACCTCTCTGAGATGGAATTTCCCAGCCTGTAAAACCAGGAAACATACCCACCTTTATGGGATATTGAAAAGATGAACTATATGAACATAAAGTACCTGTCACAAAGTAAGTAGTCAAGTGGTAATTAATAGTGTATATTGTTATGTTTAATAGCAAACTTAAACAAGAAAAAAAGCAAAACATTTTCAAGAATACCTGAGCAATAACTACGTGGTATGACACGTCTCTGCCTGAAAAGCTAAGGGCTCACAGACAGTAAGTACATTTGACATTATTATTCTCACATTAACTCAGTGGATACAAATGCATACCAATAATCTTGGTGAATTTGTGACTTTATGATAATTACTTAGTATTTACTTCCCTTCAATCCTCATGACCACCCTTCATGCCTATTAGCTGGAATCTTTTGGCAAAGCTACAAGTTACTTTTTTCCTAGAGGCTCCATGTCCCCTGCCTGTCACCAAGTACACTCTGATGACTGCTCCTCCTTCCAGGGTCCCTGCCATGTTTCTGCTGCCCCTTCCCTAGGCCCCTGTTTAGGGGGCCTTGATTTATCTTCAGCTCTGTCCAAGCTTGATTTGCATCACAATAGACCTTGGGTTGCTGGCTGCAAAATTTTAGTTTTACTGAACTCTAGAGTCAATACTTCTTAAAAATTAAATTTTGCCTGTTAAGTACCATCAAGCATAAAATGCAATAGATGGGAAACACCACCCACAAATCTTAAATCTTCTTTGTGATAGAAGGTTTAGAAAAGGACCAAATTATTTTCGATGGACCAGCTGTTTTCGTCAGAAGCCCCCCAAATGAAGATTTCTCAGTTAGGGAATGCAGCCATAGGCTTGCTTTATTGTTATCTTTCCTGGTGACAAAATTCTTATATTTGGGTTTTACAGTTTTTACGGTAAAATTGTTAGCAGTATTATTGCAGGATTTAACTACTAATGGGATTTGTGCCTTAGTCTTTAGAATAAATTTTATTCTAGATAACAACACTACAGATATTTGCATTTGTTTTTTCCAGTTACCATAGCAGTTGTGCTGTACACAAAAATATTACTGCAGTTTATAACTACTGATGGAATTATTGTAAAGCCATACCCAAAATACATAATCCCAACTGTCCTATAACAATTTTTATAACTAAAATCTCACTATGGCAAACTAATGCTTTTAAAATTTTGACCAATGGTTTTTATAATTTTTCAAAGTATTTCCTTTTACACTGTGGCATTCTTCAACATCTCACCCCCAGCTGACCTTCGCATTACATCTCCACTCCTTCTAAGCTGGCCTTTGCTCATTGTTTCAGGGAAAAAATAGAAGAGAATGTAGAAAAACAGGATCCTCACAGCCTTGAGATCCAAAACCTAGCCTTGGAGAATAATGGAATAGAATCTAGGTGGAAAGTTGCATTGCATCACTCAATAGCCTCTAGTCACAAGTGACCTAAACACAGTGTGACTAATCCAAATTGATTTGTGTTGTAAGTATAAAATATGCAGTGTTTGCAGAGAATCACTGTATATAAGAGAACATAATATATACCTTATTCACTATTTTACATTGATTACACTTTGACATTATCATGTTTTGGATATACTGAGTTAAACATTACAAGTAATTTCACCTGTTCCTTTACTTTTTTTATTCTGGATGCTATAAAAACAATGTAAGTATTTTTGATTATTTTGTTTTTGTTTTGCAGTACTGGGGATTGAATCCAGGGCCTTGCATGTACTAGCCAAGCACTACCACTAAACGCAGCCCAAGTCCCAAAATGTCTTTCCATATGTGCCCTGCCCTGTATTGCTAGAGGACAGTGCTGGTATGATAACAGCAAAACCTATTTTCAGTTAGATGAAAATAGATATCCTGGGCTGGAAGAGAAAGAAAGTTGGAGAAAATGTAGTAAGAGCCTACATGTCAATAAATCCCTAACAACAGTATTTATTATCACCATATTCTGGGAAAGCTAACTGAAATGGTGGTTTCTACCTGGGAGAGCTGAGAGATACAACTTTTTCCTATTAGAAGCCTAACGATGTACAAACTCCTTAGAAAATA